TGGCATGTAGTAGGTGCTTAATAAATGCTTGCTGGATGAATAAAAAAAAAAGGTATTCAGCAATAGAATAAGCTACCTCAGGAGGTAGTATGCCCCTTTCCACAGTCTCCACTGGAAGTCTTAAAGCGAAAACTTAGTAACTGTAGGGTGTATAACAGAGGTGATTGTTGTTCATGCCTGGATTCTAAAGCAGGTTTCTGAAAATCTGTGTATCATGACTGATTTAAAAGAAATAGAATTTAAAATTTCATTTCTATGTAACTTGTAAATCCAGGGATGGATCATATAATTTTATAATTAATTATGGAAAAATTCTCTGTATGACTTTAATATGCAACTTAAACAGAATTCTGCATACCTACTCCAGTATACCCACCCACATCTGACAGCAGCAGGAAACTGCTACTTTAAAAAGGAAAAAAAAAAAAAAGCTACTATTAAAGCTACATTTTTAAAAAAATCATCTAGTATGCTTTGATCTGCATTCAAACTCCATAGTTCTTTCTTCTTTATGGATAGCATTTTCCATCATGAAACCTTTGGAGATGTCCTAGTTCCTTGTATTGCTGAGAAGGGTTAAGTTTATCTATCTTAGTCATTGTACAACGTGGCTATTAGCGTGTACAATGTTCTCCTGATTCGGCTCACTTCATTCAGCATCAGACCACACGAATCTTTCCAGGTTTTTCTGAAGTCAGCCTGTTCATCATTTCTTATAGCACAATAGTAGTCCATTACATTCATATACCACAACTTGTTCAGCCATTCCCCAATTGATGGACATCCTCTCAATTTCTAATTCTTTGCCACCACAAAAAGAGCTGCTGTGAATATTTTTGTACATGTGGGTCCTTTTCCCATTTGTATGATCTCTCTGGGATATAGCCCAAGAAGTGCTATTGCTGGGTCAAAGGGTATGTGCATTTTTACAGCCCTTTGGGCATAGTTCCAAATTGCTGTCTAAAACGGTTGGATCATTTCACAACTCCACCAACAATGCATTAGTGTTCCAATTTTCCCACATCTTCTCCAACATTTATCGTTTTCCTGTTTCATCATGTTGGCCAATCTGTTAGGTGTGATGTGGTTCCTCAGAGTTGTTTTGATTTGCATTTTTCTCATTAATATTGATTTGAAGCATTTTTTTCATATGACTATAGATAGTTTTAATTTCTTCACCTGAGAACTGCCTGTTCATATCCTTGGACCATTTATCAATTGGGGAATGACTTGTATTCTTATAAATTTGACTTAATTTTCTACATATTTTAGAAATGAGGCCCTTCACAGAGAGACTGGTTGTAAAACATTATTTCCCAATTGTCTACTTTCCTTCTAATCTTGGTTACATTGGCTTTGTTTGAACAAAAACTTTTTCAATTTAATGTAATCAAAGTTATCCATTTTGCTCTTCTTACTGTTCTCTATCTCTTGTTTGGTCATGAATTCTTCTGTTTTCCATAAATCTGACAGGTAAACTATTCCTTGCTCTCCCAGTTTGCTTACAATATCAGCCTTTATATATAAATCTCGAACTCATTTTGACTTTATTTTGTTATATGGTGTGAGATTTTGACCTATGCCCAGTTTCTGCCACACTCTTTACCAGTTTTCCCAGCAGTTTTTGTCAAAGAGTGGGTTCTTATCCCAGAAGCTGGGGTCTTTGGGTTTATCAAATAATAAATTACTATAGTCATTGACTACTGTGTCTTGCATACTTAACCTATTCCACTCATCCACCACTCTAGTTCTTAGCCAGTACCAAGCAGTTTTGATGATTGCTGCTTTATAATATAATTTATGATCTGGAATGGCTAGGACACCTTCCCCTGCATTTCTTTTCATTAGTTCCCTTGATATTCTGGGCCTTTTGTTCTTCCAAATGAACCTTGTTATTATTTTTTCTAACTCTATAAAATAATTTTTTGGTAGTTTGATTGGTATGGCACTAAATGAGTAAATTAGCTTAGGTAGAATTGTCATTTTTATTCTATTAGCTCGCTCTTTGCTATTTTTTTTTCTTCTGTTGTGTTTTGTTTCCTCTTTCTGGTGGTTCCTCCTATTGGTTCTAATTCTTACTTACAACATCACTAGTGTGAAAATACATTTAATAGGAATACATATGCATAACCTATATCAGATTGCGCACTGTCATGGGGAGGGAGGTGGAATGGGAGGGGGAGAAAAATTTTAAACTCAAAAGCACATGGAAGTGATTGTTGAGAAATCAAAATAAATTAATTTTAAAAGATCATCTAGTTCACCTTAATTTTTTATATACATGAGGCAGCTAAGAATCTGAAAGCTTAAATTCACACAGCTAGTTAGCAGAAAGCTGGGACTACTACTCAAAGTTCCAACACTCAACGAAATGTTCTATCCACTACAAGCTGCTCCTTCACTGATACTGCTTCCTAATTTATGACAAAGAGCTACGAAGCCCATCTTTAGGCAGCTAGGAGGCCTATGATAGTTCCACTTGGGAGTCCACAGGGAAGCCTATGCTTGAATTCTATCAATACCCTGGCCAAGTCACTTAAACATTCTCAGTCTGTTTCTTCATCAGTAAAATGGAAATAGTAGCAGTAACTACCTCACAGGATTGTTTGTGAAAATCTAATGATGTAACCTATTTAAAGCGCTCTGGAAGCCTTCAAATACTACAGAAATCTTTTTCATTATTATCTTTAGTAAAAATAATTATTGCAGTTGTTTTCATTCTCTTATCATGATCATCATCTTTAGAATCATCATTATCTCTAAAGGAAATCAGTTTCTCCATAACTGGAAGCTTCCTCCTCTATAGGCAGTCTAAAAATTGCAAAGCTAGAAGTAGCATTAATCGGATTCATTTCCTAAGTTACCAATTGTTAAACTGGAAATTTAGTGGAACAAATTTCCTCTCAGGGAGCTAACATCTATATGTTAACTGTCGGGTCTCTTCCTGCCACTCATTTGGCAACTACCATATGTTACCTTGGATACTGCTGAGATTTTTCCCTACCGTGACCCTGTCTCCAACTAGTTTGAAAGCTCCCTGAGAGCATGCAATGCAGTGACTATGTCTTATACCTTTTTGCATTGCCATAATCAAGCAGAGGGTCCTTCACATATAATTCCCTATTCTAGTCTGCATGGAAGGTGAGAAGGGGGTGGAATAAGCTTGCCTAAAACACGACAGGGGTTTGAAAACAGCTACCAAATGTCGGACTGTACTGAAATTCAGAGCAAAGGTGTTTTTATTCTGGTTTGAGTCCTTGAGTCTTGGCCAGACTCTCCTACAACTTTTATAAGCAAATTGTTCAATAAGTACAGTCAAAGAGCTGGCATAGTAGCCAAAGACTCATAAGACTTCTAAAACAGTACTGCATTTGAAGGCATTGGGGAAAACAGGGAAAGGAAGTTGTGATTAGTTTCAAATAATGAACAAGATAACAGATACTTTTACTTGTGACTTCCCATCCTCTGAGACCAGAGCTAAGAAAAGAGGAAAACCGTGTTTAGTTTTGTCTGGACTTAGCATCTCTGCCAACAAAGATCATTAGTAACTCACCTATAACTTAGGGTCCTACACAGTTGACCTCAAGAGTTGCGTAAGTTAAGTGATTTACCTAGGGTCCCATAGCCAGAAGGTATAGGAGGGCAGACTGGAACTAACATTTTCAAGACTTTCAGGCCAGTACTTTGGCCATCTGATGCCATCTTGATTCACTACCAAACCTGGATCCAGGAAAACGTGAATTAGAATCTCACCTTGGACATTTACTAACTTGGGCAAGCCACATTATCCTTCTCAGGCTCAGTTTCCTAATATGTAAAATGTAGATTATCTCATAGGGTTGTTGTAATGATCAAATCAAATAGGATCACATATGTAAAGCAATTTGAAAACCTTAAAGTATTGATCTATGTTGGTCTTTACATCAAAGCAGTAATTGAAACTAGTATAAGGATCAGAGCCATCAGGATGGAACATCTATATAATATCCACCATGCCTATATTTGGAGTTAGAGAAGTGGGATCTAATCCAATCCAATAATCACTTATTAAGCACCTATTATGTGCCAGGCATTAAGTTAAGTACCAGGAATGCCATCAGTGAAAAGAAAGACATTTCCTGCCCTCAAGGAGCTTACAATCTAAAGGGATAGACAACAGCAAAAGGAGGGATCCAGGCCCAGCTCTCTATTGCACCACTTACTTGCTCTAAACAGAGCAGGAAAAGAGTGGGACCTTATTCTTAGCTCTCCCAGACCAGATAGTGCAGAATTATTTCCAACATACCTGTATGGTAGGTACTTTTGTTGTGATTTTTTATGACATAAGAGGAGAACTGAGGAAAGGGAACATAAATATGAGACTTTTTTCATTATGGGGTACTCAGAGTGTGAAAATTTCCTCCATCAATGAAAAATACAACCTGTCTGTGACTTAGTAAATAAATCTTGGAGAGTTAGCTGAGAGACATAGGGGTTAAATAACATGCCTGGAGTCATGTAGCCATTAAATTTGGGGACCTGAACCCACATCTTCCTGACCCTAAGCTTAGCACTCCATCCACTATTACATGATGCCTTCAAACAGAGATATAAGAGAAATCATAAACCCTGAGTTTGTGTCAATAACGGGACAAATATATATTAACATTGCAGACTTATTTAGCATTTTAAGAACTAAATTTATACATATGCGATATAGTCAATATAGGATGAATATAAACAAAGGTGGCTTTTCCAATATGAGATCTAAATTAAAGCAACGAGTGAACAGAATTGAGCTCAGCATGGCGAAATTAAAGCAATTAGTGAATAAAACCCAGAATCGTATTGAAAGGTCTGGAATGATCCTTTCACTTTTTCATGATAGAAAAGAGAATTCTTTAGTAATTCATTTTACATCTTATTTGAAGAGCTACAAATATACCCATTCCTTCTCTGGGAGATGATCGACCAAGGATATCCCTCATAAGCCAATGACCCAAGAGCCAACACTCACTTACTTTGTAAATAGAAGGTACGATCTGGTCCATTTTCAGTCTGTGAAAGACAAAGACATCGTAAACCGCCGACACGGCCAATACAGTCACACCTTGTTCCTTCCACAACATACTGCACCCAGCGCAGAGTCCTGTCCCTAGGAACCAGCCCCAGGTGCTCAATGAGTAGCCTCTGGTGGAGCAGTGCTTCACATAACACAGCAAAGAGAGCAGGAAGAAGAAGCTGGCGCCCACATCGGCCCTTCCCACGACGCCCGCCACTGCTTCTGTGTGAATTGGGTGGGATGCAAACATCAGGCCTGCAATGAAGGTCCAGTGTCCATCGCCGAGGAGAATCTTGGAGAAGCTTGTGAAGAGGCCGGTGACTGCTGCATGCAGCAGAACATTGACAAGATGGTAGCTCCAGGGGTTCAAGCCTCCAATGGCGTGATTAAAGCGGAAAGAAAGGGTACAGAGTGGCCTATAGGACTTGTGGCTGCCACTATGGGTAAGAAGAGTCCCCCAAAAATCATTGTAGAATATGTGGGTCCATGGCGTTTCTGGGAGAAGATCCTGATTAGTCTTGATAGCTCGGCTAAAAAACAAAATTATTTTTTAAAATAGAATTAAAAATAAAATACATTTTAAGTGGAAAAAAATGCAGTGACATTGTTACATCATTCCCTTAGCTCCGATGCTGTGTGCTAAATGACATGATGTTTCCTTTTAGCAGTGCTGTGGCTATATAGGATGAATATAAAGAAAGGTGGCTTATCAAAGCCTTTGTTGTCTACTTTTAGAGGTACTACAAAAAAAAAATCTCTAGTCTCCCAAAATAATCTTCCCCACAGTATAAGTGATATGGGACATTTCACAATTAGACATTCATTCCTTTCACTAAGTGTATTATTCCATGTTGAAATGCAATTATCCATAAGAGGGAAAAATATTTAATCTTATCAACTGCTTATACCTAATCATAGAAGAGACCTTAGTGATCTCCTAGTCCAAATCTCTCATTTTTTACATGAGTAATCTGAGGGCCAGAGGTCAGAATGACTTCCCCAAGATAATGTCAGTAATAGGCATGGCAGAAGTGGGATCTGAACCCAGGTCTTCTGACTTTAAATCTATCTTCATGTGAATGAATTTATCAGTTTTTTCCCCCCTGAAAACAAATGTTAATAAAGGGAAAAATTAAAACTGAAAAAAAAAGACACCCAATGGTGAATAAGGAATGCTGGGGTAAAGGACAATAGAATATCACCCCCTGAGGTTGGGGGGGCTCTCCCCTCTCCCCTTCACTTTAATTGTTTGTGTCCTTCATGACATAGCACATGAAGGTATGACCACAGTGACCTCCCCTCTTCTGATTTCCTACACCTTTTTCTTACCGTATATCTCATTTGGATATTTTCCTGGCTACTTAAATGATCCATATGTGTATGTGTTTCTTGACTCCCCAACAAGATTTCGAGGTGCTATAAAGCAAGGACTATGTCTTATGTTTTTCATGTTTTCTGTATAGCACCTTGGATAACACAGCACACGTAGTAAGCATTGCCCCAGCAAACACCTGACGGAAGCGGTGCCAGACCAAAGCAAACTTGCCTGCTTCCCAATTTGCTTTAGGCATGAATGCAGCAATCAGTCCCTCAGATAACAGATACAAAACAGATTTCGCAACTTTCCAGTTAGTAAGCATTAACAGGGCTTGAGCAGAAGTACTAACATGCCTTCAGAGCATGTGTGCTGTTAAAGTTTCCATACTTATTTTGCAAACATCTCTTCTCACTTCCATCTCGTCCATCCTACTGTAAGCTCTTTGAAGGCAGCAGCTGAATTATGATTATTTTTTCATCATTGTATCCTCAGCACTCAGCACAAGCCTGCACTTAGAAGGTGTTTAATAAACATTTGCTGACTTGAATTCTCAAGTAATCTTTTTCCCATCACCACTCACACAAAGGTTGATTAGATTTTATTTGAAGGCACACACACACACACACACACACACACACACCATCTAGACACTTGAAAATATTTTCCCCATTGGTCTCTCCATGACATAATCCTATTGTTTTTTGTTTCCATTATTAAAATGGATTAAGGTGACAGGTTTAGAGATAGAAAGGATCACAGAGTTAGATGTGTCTAACACCTTCAGAAAAGGAAACTGAGGCTGAGAGTGACTTCCTCAATGTCACACAAGTACTGGAATCATGTTTTGACTAACAGTCAGATAACTGACTGCCACCGTATTTTAACAGTTTGCATTTTGGATTTCTTTTTTCTGTGCAAAGTATAAGAGTTACGTGTCTCTGATACATTAAATATAAGAGTAAGATTCAAACCCAGGTCTTCTGACTCCAAGTGCAATATTCTTTCCTTTGCAGTACATGATTAGAAAACAAAGAAAGGGGTTCAGTTGCCTTCAGACCAGGAAGGTTTTGAGAGTTGCCTTCAGATCAGGATGTCTACTAGTTGGGAGCCCTCTGCTAAGTAACCAGCATCTTGGGGGCAGAGAGAAAAGCATATAACAAGGCTAGAGATTTTAAAAGCTGTCATTCTGAAAGACATAAGGGTGCCAAGGTAAGCAGGTTTAAGGTGTTATAAAGGCATAAAGCATAAAGTGAGTGCTGGTGCTCTAAAGTAAACTTCATTTTCATTGGGCTATTTTTCCAGAGCCCTCTTTCAGCTGAATTTTCTCCAGAGGATTAATACATTCTGAATGCTTATAATTGGTTGTGGCATTTGGGGAAGGAACAATAGACTCGATGAAACCACATTTTGAATAACACTAAGTTAATTGAGTGCATACCATATTTTAATAGTTTGACTTTGAGTTTTGATTTTTTTTTCTATGCAGAGTACAAGAGTTACAAGTCTGTATGTATTGACTTTGTGCTAAATGAATTTCCATATAAATTGGCTTTTAAAACATTAGAAACAGATGTTATTTGGGATCCATTAAATTAAAACACCCTGCAATGACATTCATCAGAGTCTAACCCAGGAGTAATCGCTTAAGACTTGATAGGTTATAACTAAAATTTAAAAGAAATACAAAAACTGCCAAACTGCCAAACAGCATTGTCAGGGACGACTGATCTTCTAGCAAGAACAGGATGAAACCCTCGCTGGCCTTTGCACCAAAGCATTAATTCAGACATTAGTATGAATATCACTGACATCAGGGAGAAACATCTACATAATATCCACCATGTCCACACTTGGAGCTAGGGGTAGAGGCAGCTCAAAGACAAAAGAATCTGCTGAGTGAATGACAAGCTCACCTAGTACAGGAATGGTAGGCGGGGGACATGGCACGCATCAGGGAATTGGCATTTCTAAAATGGATAAGGACCAGATCATTTGTCCAGAAACCACAGTTCTTCATCAGCTCAGTATCACAAGTACTAGGATGTAAAGAGATGACTCCAATAGTTTAATGTTATTAACTGCTGATTTACAGGAGTAAAGCCAGGTACATGTGATCCCTATGTGCCATGGGCTACACAGAACTCTTACAAATCAATCAATCAACAAGGATTTACTCTCAACCAATCAAGCATCTACCTTGTGCCAGATACAGGCACTGGGCATTCAAAGACAATCACTAAATAGACCCTGCCCTTGAGGAACTCACATTCTACAAGGGGAGAGGGGATTAGGGGAGGGAGATGAAAGTATATGAAAAATGAAGACAAGATGATTTGGGAGAAAGACATCACCTGCAGGTATTAGGGAAGACTTCACATACAAGGTGGTGCTTAAGAAGAATTGTGGTGGAAATTGGGGATTTTAGGAGACAGAACTGAGGAGGGAATATGGCCAGTGCAAAGGTATGGAGATGAAAGATGATGTATCAGTTGTGAACAACAACAAGAAAGTCAATTTGGATGGGCTATAGAATTCATGAAAAGGAGACATATATAATAAACCTAAAAAAGTAGAGTAGGGTCAGGGTGTAAAGGTCTTAAAGTTTATCTTAAATGTATTTGTCATCATCATCATCATCATTGTCAGCTGCAGTATTTATGTAGCATTTTAATGTTTATAAAGCAAATATGATCTCATTTTATCCTCCTAACACTCCTTGGAGGTATGGACTATTATTATCCCAATTTTACAGATAGGAAGACTGAGGCAAATGGAGGCACACAGGTAGTAAGTGTCTGAGGATATATTTGAACTCAGGTTTTCCTAAGTCCAGGTCCAACATTCTATCCACTGAGCTAACTATCTGTATGCTAACAATAATAGAGAACCACTGGATACTATTGATAAGAGTGTTGGCAAGGACAGACTTGTAGTTAAGGAAGATCGCTCTGGCGAATAAATGGAGGATAGGGTGGAGATTAAAAAGTCTCAAAGAATGACATCAGATTTCTCTAGTACCAAAGATCAAGAAAACATCTTTCTGATGAAACAAAAATTATGAAAGAAGAAATGGGGAAGAGAAAAAAATATGATTATACAAAATATATTATATCTGGCAAGTCTTCAATCTACAAGAAACAGAAGGGAAAAAAAATTAATTGCTCAGTCAAGTTTTTCGTCAATCCATGCCACCATGACCTTGAAAATATACTGGTCAGAGTTTGAACATCACGTTACAGATTACATACATGCCCATGATGAAAGTTATTTCAGGGTCATTTAAACAGCCATATGTTAATTGAATTCAAGGAATATGTAGGCAAAAGATCTTGAGTGACATAAACATATTGTCTTACCAAGTTTATGGATCAGACTGTGGATCAGAGATTTCACTGATGATGGATACTCCCAGTGATGAAACATCCTCTACTAAAGCAAAGTGTTACTGCAACTTAGTTTTCAAGATTTGCTACGGGTATCTAAGAGTTTAGGTGAGTTACTCAGGATCACTATGTCAGAGAGAAGACTAGAACCCAAGAATTCTAGGCTCTAAGGCTAGTATTCTATCTACTGCACTTTGCCTTTTTCTATATTACAAATAAATGTAAGGGAAAATTCTCCTGGTGTTAAAAATCAGTCCAAAATTATAATAAAGAAGCGTCACATAACACTCAGGTGGGAAAAAGACTTAACCAAAAAAATGAATTTCAATATTGATTTAATTTCTGGGTTTATTTTTGTGACAATGTTGACTATTCAATAAGCCAGGCTAAGGATAACAGAGGAAACTTTACTCTAGAAACTATGGAAAGAATGGGAGCAAATTATGTGAAAATAAACTATTTTAGCCACAGCACTCTAGAGCAAATAAAGACTGGGCCTGTCACTTGAAACAAAAAGAATTTGTCTCCAGAGTCTTTATTTTATTTATTTATTTTTTTATTTTCCAAAATCTTTAAGGAGGATTTAACCTGTTCTTACATATGCTCACTTCTGGTCTTCCATTTCTATTATCCATTGTTATTTTTTTTCCTTCTAGAATATGTTAGCAAGAGCCAAACTTATTGTGAAACTGATCAATGGTGTGGAAAAAAAAAAAACTGCTTTGCCATCTTGATTAGCCTTGTCTGAGACTCAGTGCAAAAGTTTTTATATTGGCCTTTGCAGTTATACCAGCAAACAATGAACAACCGTTTCTCAGAATGAAAAAGA